GCACCCGGCCCTGGAGAGGGGGAGATGACAGGGAGGTCAAGTCAGAGAGAGGCACCAGCCCCAGGAGACCAGGAGAGGGGAAACAGGCAGAGATGGGGAGCTCTCATTATTGGCTCCTCAGACCTCAAGTCTAGTCATCCTCCCACCTCCTAGCTCTGGCCCTGGGTGAAGGCAATAATGAATGACAGTCTGAAGGGTCCTGAGGCCTGACATTCCTGGAGGAGTCACAGAAGAGAGGTCACTCACGGGCTCAGCAAATGCATTGTCCCATAGCACCGTAGCTGTTGCATTGTGGTCCTGGCTCCCATGAACAATGACCACCACTGGAAGGGACAGGGTCTGCAGGGGCGAGAAGAACAAAGGTTTGGGGAGAGGAATGGAGGATAGGATCCACATTGCATCTCAAATTCAAGGCTCCCCAACTCACAAGTGAGGGTCCCAAATTCCTGCACAGAAATGCTCCTTGTAGAGTGGAGACTAAGTTTTTCTTATGTACCACAACCAATTGACCAGAGGCCTAGATAGGGTTCAAATTCTACCACTGATACTTACTAGCTGGGTTATCCTGAATAAGTCACTTATATTCCCTAAACTTTAGTTTTCTCATCTGCAAAATGGAGCTAGTAATAGTACCTATGCCCCTGGGTTTTTGTGACAATCAAATGAAATACTGTACTTGATACTTTGCAAACGTTAATATACCATATAAATGTTAGCTCTTAACTATGTTCTGGCTTTAATGATTAACTCTAGGAGGATGATTACCAAATCTATATATCCAGACCTAGTCTCTCTCCTGAGGTCTAAATGAGCATTCCCCACAGCCTATTGGACATTTCAAAATGGATGAACCTTAGGCATCTCAAACTCAACATACCCAAAATAAACTCATTACCTTTTCCCCAGAATTCACCTGTCTTCTGAACATCACTATTTCTGTTGAGGGTACCACCATTCTTCCAGTCTGAAATCTGCCTTTGAAATCTTGGTGTTGGGCTTCATTCCCAGTCCCCCTCAGCCTTCACATCCAATCAGTTGCCAAATCATGTCTTTTCTATATGCACGTGTCACACCTCTCCCTTTTCTCTTTACTCCCACCAGTCACCACCTTGGCCAGGTCCTCATCATCTCTAAATTGTACTATTGAAAGAACCTCCTAATTAGTCTCCTTGCCTCAAATCTCTCTTCTTTCCAATCCATCCTCCACAAGATGTCAAAGTGATTTTCCTAAAGCCTAGGCCTGACCATGTCACCCTCTAACTCAATAAACTCAATTGGGTTCCTATTGCCTCAAGGATGAGACATAAATTCCTCTGTTTTTAGCTTTTAAAGACTTTCATAACCTGAACTCAACTTACTTTTAAAAATTTATACATTACCTCCCTTCCCTCTGCAGTACCATCTAACTTACCATGGCAACAGAAGAACCACTGGGTCTTGCCCTCTGACCTTGCAGCTAAATTCTTTCTTTGTTATCTATCTCCCCTGATTTGAACACAAACTCATGGAAAGCAATTGTTTCATTTTTCTGTCTGTATCCTCAGTACTTAGTTCAGTACTTGGCACACAGCTAGGGTTTAATAAATGCTTTTTCATTCATTTATTTATTCCCATACTCTGATCCAGCCAAAATGACCTTCTGGCTGTTCTTTACACGTACCACGTTCTTTCTCCTCTCTGGACCTTTGCACTGGCTGTGCACCCCAAACCTGGAATGTACTCACTTCCACCTCGTTTCTGCTTCTTATAATCCCTTATTCCTTTAAAAATCTCAGTTTCAAGTTCTACCTTATACATGAAGTCTTCCTGATCCCCATAGCTGCTAGTGCCCCCCCTACACAAAAAATTTACATTGTATATTTTTACTATATCCTTACTTATTTACTCTTATTTCTCAACTGGAATGTACACTCCTTGAAGGCAAGGACAGTTTAACTTTTTTCCTTTGTATTCCTAGAACCTAGCACAGTGGGACATAGGAGGCCGTTAAAAATGCTTGTTGATTGATTATTAAGAGTTCACCACCCTGTCTATCTTTCTCTTTCTTGGTCTCCTTGCTCCTCATAATATAGACTAAAGGTTGCAGTCTGACAGGGTTGTTGTTATTATTATTACTAAGATGATGATGATGGACTCCTGGCATTCTCATACCAGCATTGCTCTGGAAGGTCAGCTAAATGGCACAGTGGATAGAGCACTGGATCTGGAGTCAGGAAGACTCAGTTTCTTGAGGTCTAATCTGGCCTCAGGCACGTATTAGCTGTGTAACCCTGAGCAAGTCACTTGACCCTGTTTGCCTCAGTTTCCTCATCTGTAAAATGAGCTAAAGAAGGAAATGGCAAACCACTCCAGCATCTTTACCAAGAAAACCCCAAATGGGATCACAAAGAATGGGACAAGACTTAAAAATAGCTAAACAACAATAAAATGCTCTGATTAGCTGTGTGACTTCTGGCTGATAAATCATCTTTATACATATGTAACCACTGTCCCAAGGCCCATTGGTATGGAACTCTCCTCACTGGTGGAAATGAATGCCCTGCCATGTGGTATACATGGGAGATTATATTCCAGATAATACAGAGTGAAGGAGCTTTCTCATTGGGAATGGGATAATTCAGTTCAACCAAGAGAGAGAAACCTTGATCTCACCCAAAGGGAAATCTCTAGATTATAAACTGGGAAGAGGGACACAATGGCAACTTTTGGCTCCTCTCATATTTGCCCAGAGCTTTTTCCTTCAACAACCTGAAGGGACGTTGGCCTCTTCCATCTGCTCTACTGAAGCTGGAAGCCAGAAGCTCCCAAAGCAACTGAACGCTTGAAGAAGGTTTGACGCATGAGGAGTCCTCACCTTGCCCAGTCCCATGGGGGTCGGAGAACTGAAGCCCTCCTGCCTCTTACCAACTCTACCCAGGCCCTCATGCAGGCCAGAGATTTCATCTCTACCAATAAGGAGAGAGCCCATACCAATGAGCCTAGGGACAAGAGTTATACGGGGATCCATTGCTTTCTCTGTACCTCCCTTCCCTTCTGATGAAAGAAGTCCCCAAGTTTTTACCTTAACTTGAAACACAAGCTCATTTCCCCCAATGCTGAACTGAGACTCGAACAGGACTGTGAATTTTTCCTCCGTCACTGACTCTGCACCCCGCCTGTCTGCCCGCTTAATCCTCTTCAGGGACTACAAAGGCAGGAGATCACACGTGAGGAGAGATGAACTATTCCCTGCTCAGCCCCCAGCCACCTGGCCTCTGCTCGTGAGACCCAAATCTTCTCCCACTACATGTTCCATATAATCCCAGCCCCCAGTCCCTGCCAAGCTGCATCCTCACCATATTCCTAAAGTGTGCGCTGAGGGTGCCCGTTGCCTGGTGATACTCCATCACACAGCAATTGTTCAAAATCTCCCCACTGCACTCACTGTAAAAAAAAGATATGTCTAAACCGAGATTAAGCGTCCACTATGCTCAGGGGCGCTGTCTCCTTCCAAGTCCTGATCCGGATTTCCCTTTTCCAAGAAGCCATCCCAGATTACGCAGCTTTCCTGGAGATAATACCCCCTCCAGCACTAACGCCTATCAAAATGTTTCTAATTAATGTCTAACCTATCACATCAGACTGGGAGCTTTCCAAGGCCAGGGACTGTGGTTTCCCTCATCAAACTGGAAACTTTCTGAGAGCTGGGACTCCACAGGAGGTGAGGAGCGATAGGGGAGGGGAAGGAGGCTATGGAGGAAGGAAGGAGTCACACTATGTTGATGGTCCTCCCCAAAGGACCC